TGTTATGGCCGATGGATACGGTTCACGGGTATTTCTCACATTCTCATCTAATTGTTAATGTCGAATATGATTAAAATTAGAGGAAACCCATTTGATTACATTGAAATGTTATACACATTTAGGATTTTTAGGTTTACAATCACAGATACGTTTTTGCGGATGATCCATTCTGCGGAGGGGGACGTCAGTCCGCAGAGGCTTCTCCGCGGAGTGATGTGTTTCCTCCGCGGAATGCTTATAATCCAACATGCAGCCTCCGCGGTAAGCTAGATGTCACTCCGCAGAGAGCCTCCGCGGAATGACCTCTAGCCTCCGCGGAGTGATGGTTTTGCCCAATTATTATTTTTCTGCTTTTAAGTATGTTGCTATTTATTTCACAATGGAATAATATTTTTTTTTTATTTTCAATTAGTAATTTTTTAAATGAAATAATAATTTTTATTTTTTTTGTTGTGTAGCACGAAGATCTTAATCAAAAAGCGGATTTAACTTTAAAAGGCGTGGTGGGGACTATCATTAAAGACTATTTTCCGCACCTAACACAATCACAACGAGTATTATTCGAAGCTTCCCCCTTTGGAATATTCTTAGGAATGCATATCCCACATGGTGATCCCTTACTTGTGCATAAGATGATGTTGCACGCAGTAAGGTGTCAACAAATATTTGAAATGGGGAGGTTTCTGTTTGATGTAGAGGGGATCCAGTTGGGTTTTGGTGAAACTGAATATATTCTGATTTGTGGTTTAAAAGTTGGTCCTTATGTGGATTTACTCCATGACGAAAAGGGCCAGTTAAATTCAAATCTTCGTGCTCGGTTGTTCCCAGATATTTCTGATGCACGTTTGCGGCTGAAAGATTTATAAGAGTTAATTATGTCCCGAATTATTTGGCACTACAAGATGAAGATGTTGTGATGCTTATCCAGCTTGTTTTTATGTTGAAGGGTCTACACGGACGGGACGTTAAAACGGGCATTCCTGCAGCAGTATACAAGCTTGCTGATAATATAGATGATTGGAACAGGTATTACATTTAAAACAAGCATTCCCGCAGTAGTATGCAATGCACTAATTATAATAAATAAATTGAAAATTGCAGGTTTGCATGGGTACGTATTTCTGGAAATATACTTCGCGTATGATGCGTGGAATGTTTAAGAAAATAGAAGAGTTTAGAGAATTCAAGCAGGCCAATCCCGAATCGAAGAAAGTACACAAGTATACCGTTCCCGGTTTTATGCTTCCGTTTAAGGTTAGTTTCTAATGCATTTTAATAGTTATCATTGTTTAGTTTTTTATACTATAAAAATTTGAACTTCGTTTTGTATAATAAGTTTGTATCATGACTTTTATAGTATAATAGAACGATACTTACATTTTTTTTCATAGATATGGATTTTGGAGACGTTCCCAGAGGCAACCAAGTTTTATATACGCACGCCGACAGAATTGCCACGGATGAGGGCGTGGAGAGGAGAAGTAAACACCGTTGAATTGGGTTCAATGTGTCGAATAATGAACGTGTCTGTGGTATGGTTTTTTATTAACAATTATCTATATTTACAAATTCCAAATTATTTTCATGTTAAACTAACAATCTGATTTTTGCAGCCTAACAACCAACCTATTAATGTCGAGGCAAACCGGAGGAGCTGTGAGTGTGTTTTATGTTCGTTATGTCAATTGGACTCTTAACCCTGTAGAGTCTCCCCCACGGCAACATAGTCTCGTCCGAAATAGTCCACCTCCTGTTGCCTCGTCTGCTCGAAGAAGGATGTACAAGTCCGAAATACAAACATCTTCGACTGAATCTGCCACTAATGCTTCTTCCTCGCAACATCTTGAAACAGAAACAAGTTATATGTCACACGATACATCAAGATTGGTAAAGAAGAAGAAGACGAGCACAAAGGCATTAGTGAAGCGTCTACTAGGCGTTGTGTAGCTGACTTAAGTTCTAAAGTAGACCATGTATTACACAAAAAAGATGAACCCGACACAAATTTTGAACCAGACAGAAGGTTTCGAGAGGAGGAAGAGATGATAAATGAAGAGGAGGAAGAAAAATATTACCATGATACACATTTTGACTATGATAGTATAGGTAGTCATGGTTTGGAGGGGTAATTTGAGTCTACACCTACGCATGTTGAGCCGTCATTGGACGTGGGTGAACATCACACAAAAAAAATTACTCCTATTCTTAGGCCGCAACGAAAGAGGGGTGTTCCATGGTATCAGCGGACTCCGTTCACAGTGGTACAAAACTCATATTTTAAATTTGGTAGATTTTTTAAATATTAACGTATTGATAATTATTTAACATGATAATTTTTTAGATGCAATCCACACCAAAATTGAAGAAAATCACCAAAGCAAAGAAAAAAAAAGTGGTGAAGCGTCCTGAAAAAGCAAATGAAGCCATTGTGAATGAAGAGAGTAATGATGTTTCAAATCATCTCCTGCTCGACAGTGTTGAAGCTGGCAGTACGTTGACTTTTTGGAAAGAATGGAATAGTATCTCTTCCAACCTGAACACTAAACATAGGCTGCATATGCTCACACTGGATGTGGAGTTTTGGTCGAGGTTACTTGCAGTTACTGACGCTGGGTGGTTAATTTCTTCGGTAACATTCGTTAAATATAAATTTTAACTACATTTTTAGACGATAATTTATATAAAAAACTGTAACATTTTTATCTTAAAATGTACAGCATATTGCGATATGGAGTGCCTTGCTCATGGAAAGACGGCCGGCGAACGCAAGGTGGACGATATTCCCTCAAGAACTTAATTTGCAAAACGGAAAAACATATTTCTTAGGAATATTGCAAATGGTGTCGGAGGCCATCCTAAATGGAAGGATGTGGATATGGTTAGTTAAGTTTATTAATTATTTATTTTATATAGGAAACGAATTAATGACTATTACATTTGTTTTTGTTTGCAGGTTCTATTCCCCATAAACGTTCCTCATGCCCATTGGTTTTTGGCAGTGCTACATTTAGATATTTGGGGAAAGTACACATTTATGATTCAGCACGATGTATGAATTACTTCACAACGTACTTGACTGGTGGAGAATTCAAAAGTTTTAGGGATAGTATAATCGAAGAGCTAGATGCGATTGACTACTGGAAGGATTTCCCCGATGGACACAAAGACAACGCAGTTGTGGAGTTTATTGATATTGTAGACGCGCCACAACAAGAATATATTACTAATAGAGGGGATTGTGGAGTATTCGTAAGCATGTATATGGAAATGATTGCTTCGGGGGTACCGGTGAAGAGTGATAAGCCATGTAGAGATGCGGGATTTCTCTACAGAAATAGGATGACAAATATTATTTGGGATACTAAATAACTTGATGTTTGGAAGTTTGTATACATTATTATGAAATACTTGTTTTTAGTAGTTTTGTTTAATATAAACAACTTTTGTATCATATAGAGATTTTTTGAAACATAATTCACCAACATATATAACGATACATTAAAAACAAAATAAACATTTGAAATAACATAATAACATTACAGAAAACATTGCAAATAAAAGATGAACGACTAACAAACATTACATAGAACATTACGAATAAAAGAGTCGTCTACATGAAAAAGGGTTTATTTCTAACCAGATTCCAAACGTCCGTATACTCGAACTCAGTTTCATCAAACTGGCACAGGTAATATCCGTTCACGTATTCAAGAAGTTCTTCATCATCAGCATCAGAGCATCGCATTTTCTCATAATTGTAGCATCGATTGTACCATGTGACTTTAGTCTTTAAATCCATCCATTTACTAACAATATCGGGTTTTAGTCGTTTTTGTCCTTGTCCCACGTTATAGTTGAACAAAGCTACTAAGCGGGACCATTCATCACCAACAATGCAATTAAGGGGAGCTATTACCGGTAGACGCTCGTAAACGGTAATCCAGCATCGTGTTAGGACCAACACCTCTGTTGTCGTCCATGGAGATGTACCATTCGTTGGAGCAGACACATTAGACAGATTAGCTGCATTTGAAGACGTTGGTACATTGGATGCCATTTTGTGAAATGATCCCTTACCTCTAATTCGGACGTATAGATACTTGCTTTACTATATATAAAAAGATAGGTAACGTGGACTGACAAGTCAGTAACGCGGACTGACAAATAGCTATGCGGACTGACAAGTCAGTAACGCGGACCGACAAATAGCTATGCGGACTGACAAGTCAGTAACGCGGACCGACGAACAGCTCTCTGCGGAGTTGAAGGGTCTATATATTGTCATGGATGATCGTTGGATATTTGCGGACTGTCATGTCTATATAAAACGACAAAAAATTATGTATCACTTCATCTAATCTATTTTAGTTCATGTAGTTTGTATGTTTTACAATGGGTTCAAACCCATGGACCGCTAACGAGTATTTGCTTCTAACTCGTGCATATATTAATGTCTACGAGAATAGCAGTTTGGAGGATAGAATGTTTTGGGTCCTATTAACGAATACCTTCAACACTGACGCTGAAACCACCATAGAAAACCATCGCAACACGCTTAATATAGCTGCAAAATTGTATGAATTGAAAACAGAAGTTGTGTTATTCAACGATCTTTATAATAAGATTGAAGACGATCGTGTGAATGATACTGAGGAAGACATCTTGGAGGCGGCTAAAGAAGAATACAAATCCATTAGCAACGGACAGAGTTTCGAGTATGAAGCCCCTTGGAATCTTTTAAAAAATGTCCCGTTTTTTTAACTAGTACTGCGTTTTGTATTGTTCTTGTCTTGCTTTATTTATATGTAATATGGTATTTATCCTTTTTTTTATGAAAAATAATTCTCATTGTTTAAAAACCATACATTCAAACAGGTTACGCGGACTGACAAATAAGTTACGCGTACTGACAAGTCATTTACGCGGACTGACAAGTAAGTTCTGCAGAATAATGTATACTAATTCCTTATAAATTGGACAAGCATTTCCATTTTTACAAGGTGTCCAAAGTTGTGAAAATGAGTTCAGTCAATCAGGTATTAAGAAAAAGTTTCTCCAGCCTACCGACTTTTTTCCATAATCTGCAAAGAACCAATCCTAACACCTACACGTACATTACGAAAGATCAGTACAATCGTTTCCAAATTTGTTTCGTGGCATTGGGATGCGTGGTATGTAATCTCATATAGTACATAAATATTTAGTTATTTCAAGTTGTTACATGCCTAATATTCTTATGTTGACTTACAGATTCATACGTTTCTCACGTCTATGATACCAATCATATTCGTTGGTCAAGTACCTCTAATTGGGGCGTATGTAAGATCCATGTACATTGCGGTTGCTTTAGATGGAAATCATGAACCCCTTCTCATAGCGTTTGCTTTGGGAACCATAAACTGTGACAATTCATGGTTATGGTTCATGAGGAGGCTTAAAGACTGTTTAGGTGACAATACAGAACTTGGTTTCATAAGCCATATGTCTGATTCTATAGACTTTGCAGTTCAAAGAGTCTACCCTGATTCATATCATGGCTATTGTTGTAAAAATATAGCCGAGAAAATACGCGCTTCCATCGGAAGCAATACAGTCGTAGAGTAGTTGTTCTGGAAGACTTGTAAAGCATATAATTATCTCATTTTTATGCATGTTTGAACAACTTAAAAAATGAGGTTAATGGGAATGATCTTCAGTGGCTTGACAATATTCCCATTGCAAAATAGGTACGGGCTTGTTTTCCAAGAGTACGTTTCAATGTTAAATTCATTGACATTCCCGTTGTTATCAATTGGTTTAAAACAAACACACATGAGTTTCCAATAACAACAATCATTGAAATGGTCCATGACTAGATGCAAGCAGTGTATCTTCAACGTGTTGCGTTTGGAGGTAATTATAAGTTATGACATCACTCAAATGGTGAATTGATATGTTATTAAACATTATGACATCATAATTTTGTTTTTTTGATTCAGTTCATTTCACATGGGATTTTCATGGTCTTCTAACCCCTTATGCACTTAAGGTGATTCATAAAAGATTTATCCACTCGTATGGTTGTAGGATTACGCATATTGTTGGCGACAGATATGAAGTGACTAAATATTAAACAACCGAAACTGTCCAATTAGACCGTGGTATTTGTAGTTGTGGTAAATGGCAAAAATGCGGTATACCTTGTGAGCATGCTATAGCTTCACTACAAAGACTCGAAATTGCAAAAATCCAGCAAATGGTAAATTTAAAGTTAAGTACAGCGGTGTATCGAAATGCTTATCAAACTAAGACGGTCAATCCTATTCCAACCCTTAGGCATTGGGAAATACCAGTTGAAAGTGTTGTGGTCTTACCTCCATGACAATTCAATTGAACTGTATTGTATGGATCACAACGAATATTAATTTGTATTCAGTTCTATGTTAACCGTAGTTGTAATGCTCTGTTGGCGTTCTTTACTTTTTAATAAAAAATGTTTACCTTTAAATAAATAATTGTATTCCCATAATTGTAATGTACGGATGACAACGACTAGACAAACAGCTCTGCGGACTGACAAACATTATTGCGGACTGACAACAGCTCTCTGCGGAGTGGAAGGGACTATATATAGTCATGGATGGTCGTTGGATTTTTGGTATAGACTTATAAATTTTTTTTAAATTTAAAATGAGTTCATCTTCAACTTTGTATATTTGCTCGTGCAACGAAGTTGATTGTTTCTATTGTGATCCGATCGACCCTTTTCTTGCCCCATCACCAAATTTAAGAGAGCCATATATGTCGGAGGATACTTTGCAACAACTACAATGGGCTGAAGAACAACAAAAAAAAAGGATAAAGACTCATCTCGAGCTCTCACTGAACGTCGTGATGTCATTGCGGCGGAGTGCAAAGAGGTTGAGGAAAGGATGACGATTACTAAAAAAAATCAAAGATCATGAGGAATGGATAAAAAAAACTAAGAAGAATATCAAACTGTCTGAAAAATGGCTTGCTGACAAGGATGCAGAAATGATAGAACTTGGTATCCAAAAGGACCGTATGGAAGATAAAATAAGAATTAGGGACGACTACATAACAATGGAGAAAGAAAAGTATCCTTTGCAATTCCCTTAAGTTAATTACTATTGTTTTACGTTTACTATATGTTTCTAGTTTGTTGAATGTATTATCTTCGAGTATTAGTTATTATTGTACTAGTAATTATGCACTAATATAATCATAATATTACCCATCATCTTTAAAATAAACACACCATTTCAAAGTACACAAATTAATGTCTTCTAAAACAAAACATAATTAATTATAAATACAACATCAATCATTCAAATCAAACGTTGAACAATAGTCTTCTCTCTGCGTCCCACTCGTCCAACACGTCTCTTGTGTCCCGTGTTTCTCTAGCGTCTCCTGAGTCCCTTCTGTCCCTTTCCCTTTCCCTTTTGTGTTACTACCTGATGCTGCACTACTTTTTGTAGCCTTTTTTTGTTTCTTTGGGACCAATGCCGGACAAGTCGCTGCATTATGTGTTGTACTATCACATCTACTACACCTTCTTACTATAGGTTCCTCACCTTGTGACGGGATACGATTTCTGTTTCTCGGTCTACCAGCTTGACGTGTATCCATTATCGGGGGTTTAACAACCATCATCTCAGCAGGAATCTCCCAATCACACGGTTCTGGAAGGGGGTAAACCAGCTCCTCATACGTACTTCAGTACGTTTCCATTTTGTAAGCATCTATAGCCAGATGTCCGAAGTTAGTTTTTTTCAAGTGCTTCAAGACCATTATGACATGACCACAAGGCAACCCAGTTCCTTCCCAATATTTGCATGTACAAGTCTCTTGCCTCAGATCAACTATGCCACCATGTTTGAAATCATGAACTTGATATATTGCATCTGAAACACCAGAAACAGACCATCCTGTCGTACGCTCTTCATTTTTACTAACTACTTTTTCAGCCCACTCGGTTAGCACGGTTGAACGTTTCCCTGTAAAGAAGATATATATAATTAACTTATTATTCGACCTAATTAAAGTCCAAATTAAATTCATACCTCCTTCGATGCGACGCTTGTTACACCATTCCTGTGAAAGACGACGGAAGAACTCAAGAAGGGGTATTATAGGCATCTTCCTTGCATCTACAGATAAAGCATTCATGGACTCTGCACTGTTCGAGGTCATGTAATCGTACCGTTTCGACAGCGAATATGCTCTAGTCCACTTAGCACGGGGAATTTCATTTAGATACGCTGCTACTTGCGGCCTAGTAGAACTAAATCTATACCACAATTCTTCAAAAACATTTCTTCTGTAAGCTTTCACAAGCCTCCAAAACAACAATTTTGTTTTATCAT